CCACATTTTAGTCGCGCAGTCCGAGACGTTTCCAAACCGTTGGATTGGTAGAAGAGGTGAAATTGAGTGGCCACCACGATCTCCTGACCTAACCCCACTCGTTCTTTTCTCTTGGGGGTTTATAAAAAGTAAAAGGTATCCAACTAAACCAGAATCAATAAATGATTTGGAAAATCGCCTACTTCAAGAAACCACCAATTTCACTAGGGATATGCTTCTGAAGGTTCAAAATTGCATTTACGAGTATTTGGGTCATTGCGAGATGGAAACTGGTTGACAATTTGAACATTTGTTATAAAAATCGTAATAAACGTGCAAAAAATATTAAAACATTTTATTTTCCCACTTGGTCCTCATAACTCTTGAAAGAAATAAGATATCGAGTTTTGTTTATGGGGATGTGTTTTTTATTACCTTTAAAATAAGGTGCAACTCGACAGGGGTTGCTATTTAAAATGTTGCGGTGGTCATCCCCTAAAAAAAGTCCACGTTGCATGAAAGTTCTAAACTATCTAAGAATGTGGTTTTTATAATCCTATAGTGATCACCAAATTTTCAATTTTTTTTTCTCAGTTATAGCTTCGTCCCGGGACTTTTGGAAAGCCCTGTATATATATATATATATATATATATATTTACTTCCAGCATACAAAGTGAGCCACTTTCGAAGGTAATTTACTATTAAAGTGAGGTCCATGGCAAAGTGAGTACCGTATATGGTCCTCACTTTGTCAAAGCAATAATTTTATACCTGAACGCTTCTGTATTACATAAAATGTTGTTTCAGTAAGACATAAAAAAAGCCTCACTTTGCATTTTAGTTTCTTAAACCGCTACTAGGTGGCGCTGCTACCGCAACTTGGTGGCGCTTCTTGTTGAGTATATTTTCAAGACGTATATTTTTAGGTGCTTATAAGCAACTTTCTACGCATTAAGTGAGGACCATAAAATTGACAACTGTAAACGGTCCTCACTAAATGCTAGGAATGGTTTGTTGACTATAATTTTAATTTGTCTTTTGTCTGGTTTGATCTGTGCCAGGGTATTGATTCTTTAAGTAATCTGGCGGAAAACTGCTTTAACCTTTAACCGCTACTAAGTGGTTTGTTAGAGACCACTAGATATGTTTTTCCAAATATTATATTATTATTATAGATATAAAGTAATTGGCTAGACCAAAACATAGCGATTAGGTTATATTAGCTTCCCTTGTAATAGTGTCCACAAGTGGATTTTAACCAACTTATACTTAACCGATTGAGCTGAAATTTTGCACATACTTTAGGTGCTGAAGACAGTACAATTTAGTATAGGATTACCTTTCTCTTTACAACCCCCTTGATTTGGGTATCAAATGAAAGGTTTTGAAGATAAGGCGTTATACTAAATCCAATATGTCATCCGCTCCAAGATGGCGATTTATCTATTATTCACAACTTGATATGGGTATCAAATAAAAGGGCTTGACTAGTAGAAAACAATAGGGTGAGTGACGTCGAATCAAATCCAATATGGAGACCACCCCAAGGTGACAGAATAGGTACCTATTTCTTTACAACCTCCTTAAAATAAGTATCAAATGAAAGGGTTTGACAAAAAAAAACATAAATTAAATAAAGTCATACTAAATCCAAGATGGAAGATTGCCTTTATCTTCACAACCTTCCTGACATGGGTATTAATTGAAAGGGTTTGACGAATAAAAAACAATAAAGTAAGTGACGTCGTACTAAATCCAATATGAAGGCCGCCCCATGGGTGCAGAATACCTATTTCTTTAGAACCTCCTTGACATGGGTATCAAATGAAAGGGTTTGAAAAAAAAATGATAAATTAAGTTAAGTCATACTAAATACAATATGGCGGCACCTTGCAATACTGACGCGTTGACCGAAAGAATTTTTTTTATTTTTAAGAATTAATTGAAAGTGAAGACGATGAAGCAGTTTATATATGTCAGTTAGGCAATGCATAATATGCATTCATTAATTTTGAGGCAAAATATAATTTCGATATAGCTACAAACTCTTTTTGGTATAGTCATTGAAGTTATAGGTAAGTTTATACAGGGTGTTTAAAAAACATGCGCCAATGCTCGGCTGGAGATTCGTCATCGAAAAATAGGAAAAAAAGTTATATGACCTTAATAAACATAGTTTCGGAAATGTTTAGTTTTCAAAATATCTTAAATATCGTTTTCCCGATTTTGTTGAAATTTGGCAACGTTATTTATACTAGCTAAACTTTTTGTGCTATTTTTATATATTTTTTTATGATCAAGCCACTAAAAAACTTTTTGGTCTCCCAAGTTGTTTATTACCTCGTTTTTGACAGAAAAAATAAAACAATATTATTGCATGAAAATTAACAAAACCCTTTTGCACCTTTTTTAAGCTAAACAAAAAATACTTCCTATTATGTTTTAATTAATCAAGGGGTTTGAAGAAAATTAACAAAAGCAATAAATAACGTTGCCAACTTTCAAAAAAACCTGGCAAACGATATTTAAGATATTTTAAAAAAGTTTTGAAAAAAATGTGTGTAATGTAAGTATCTTTAAAACTAAGCATTTCTGGCACTACGTTTGTATGAACTTTTTTCTTATTTTTGGATGACAAATCTCCAGCCAAGCATTGGCGTAAGTTTTTTGAAACCTTGTCGATGGGAACAAAATATTTTTAATTAAATTACATTATTTTGAAGTTTTTAGTGCTTAAAAGCGTGTTTTTTTGTATAAAAGAGCCGGTTTGTGTTTTTTAGTTTATTTGAACTCTTTATTAATTCTTTATTAAGACAAAATCAAATGTATATATACCGTATGGGCCTATAGGCCTTACAAAAAATCAAAAACAAATGCAACACTAATAAACAAATCAAATGTTAAAAAAACTGAATAAAATAGTGTAGAACTATATTAATGTTCATAATTAATAATTAATTATTATTAAACTAGCTATAGTTGTCTAACATGAAGATTATCGCGCCGCGACCGCAACTAATATTATTTAATTATTAAATTTCCGCCCAGTTTAGTGCTAGTTGTAAATTTTGAAAATTTTATCCAAATGGAATTTACTATAAAACAAGTGGTGACTCGGATATCCGGAAACCAAAATATTCTGAAGGCCTGTTAGGTCAAAAATTTTATCGAAATCGGATTTAGACACCTCAATTTACAATAAAACAAGTGGTATCCGTAAACCAATATTTTTTCAAGATCCTTTAGGTTAAACGTTTTCTTAAATATATTTATATATTTAGACATTGATTTACTCGGGCATTTGAAACCAAAATTTAAAGTCAAACATTTTGTGTAAATCGGATTCAGAGACCTCGATTTACTGTAAAAACTAGGAAACTTTTTTTGTAATATAAAAAAAAGAATTAAAATAACCTATACTTACAGTTAATTCTTACATTACAAATATTGTGTATTCCAATACATTGTGTTTAATGTTTTTTCTGAAATATCTCAAAAATAAACAGAACGATTTAAAAAAAATACCGATTTATAGGGATTTTAAAAACCTTTAAAAAATGTATTACTCCTATATCTGCTGGGTGCAGGGTGTAAGGTTGGGTAACCAAATTTTTGAGCATTTATTACAATATTTTTTTCTATTATGTCTCCTAAGAATGTTTTTTCTAAAATATATTAAAAACGAACAGACTGATTTAAAACACCGTACGACTTCAAAGATCTTTAAAATGATGTATTACTCGATACCTATTCAAATTCTTAAGGGCGCAGAGGGTAAGGGTAGGAAACCAATTTTTGTCATGCAAAATTGTACCCCTGGATATTAAACTTTACATGTCTCGGCTTTTTTTCATAAACCTTTCAGTTTAAGAGAAATTTAGTGTGGGAAGTTTTAAAATTAATACCCTGTATAATAAATAACAAAATATCTAATAAATATTAATAAGTCTAATCATATGTTAACCCGTAAAGGTGGAGGGCCCTTTAAGCCCGCGGTCCGTTCCTACCCCTAACCCGCTCATGCCATTCAGTTGGCTTTTGGGACTTTTTAGAAAGTAAGGGTGGAACTAAAAGAGCACTTTTGTATATAACTTTTGTATATTTGTCCAAGGATGTAATTTCTTTGTGGTATTGCCAACTGTTACACAGTTTTACAAAAGTACGATGGACCTCATAAAATGGGTGGCATAAAAAATTATAAACGGTCCTCACTTGAATAGACAGATATACTGTCCTCACTTTGTTCTGATATACTCGAAAATATTTAAATGAACATTTTACGTGTATATTCTTTACCCACCTGTTACTAATTTAATATTAAGCGTAACTTAATATTAATTGTGTTTCTATTTTGACTCCTTCTACCGGTCCTCATAATATACGTGCTAAGACAAGTCCTCACTTTGTATGCTGGCCAAATATATATATATATATATATATATATATATATATACATGGTGTTTCAGTGTATGATTTACTGACCCCCAGGAATCCCAGAAATTCTGGTAAATATTCTACACAAATATGTATTGGGTAGTACTGCATGTTCATTTGCTAGCGAGTTACAAAATATTTCAGATTTTATTAAAATAAAAGAGTATGCTCTAAGGCAGGGTTAAACGGCATTGGAAAAAACTTTTTTATTTCAAATTTATTTTTAGGATATAAACAATTGATTAGACCATGTCTAACTATAAAAATCCAATTTGGAAGATAACGCACAATCTACTACACATTTTTACAAGGACTAGGACTAGTGATGCAAAATCCTCCAATTTTTAATTTTTGTGGAACATTCCCAAGCACAAACGAGCACGATTATTAACAAGCCTTTTTAGTTTAAGTTAAAACTTATCCCACTAACTCCCCATTTGCCATCGTTTGTGCTTAACCCCGGAGAATATTCCCTTCTTCGCATCACTAAGTAGGACTATTACTTTATTTATATTCGCTATGGTTTTCTTTTTTTAGACAATATTTAACGCGTTTATACTTTCGGTACTAAGACGTGATATCCAAACTATAGGATTATGTTAGTATCACAGATATCTTAAAAAAAACCGGGTATCTTATTTGGGTTTCTATTTTATGCAAAACTTACTTACCAATATATCGAAAATATCCCTTTGATGAACATGAATTGTTATGAGTGTTTCAAATTTTGTTCTCTCTATCTTTGTTAGATCTCTAGTAGTCTGATCAATAAGTGTATTTAAAAGTTCCAAAAATCTGTTATTGGTTTCAGGCATTTGTTTTTTATCATGTCTTGCTTGAATTAATGCAAATTCGGCATCTCGAGTCCAAATCATTTGTAAACCCAAAAGTCCTATTTGAGCAGGCATCTTATCAAGAAATAATAATAGGTTAAAATTTTGATCGTTAATCACAAGATGAGCTTGTCGTATAATGGAGTGTAAAGACATCTGCGATGTATTTAATAACTGAGTAAGCCAGGTTTCCACGCTTCCTTCGGCTCTAACTGCTTTTTCTAATGGAATTACTTCATTTTCGGATGAGATAATGGCAGTTATTTTATTATATTCAATATCATGAAACTTGACATATCTAGTATTATCAAAAATGGATAAAAGATGATTTTGTATAGTATGAGAATCAGAAGCTTGTCCAAGAATTTCCAATAATGCAGGATCAGATACAAAGAAAAACCTTGGAAACATCATTCTTTTGCGTTCCAAATAGCCACTTAGCGACTTTTGACAAAATTCTAATTGATCTTGTAGATGGGGTAAAAGTTGCTTTAAAAGATCATCGCCTGAAATAAAAAAAATAATTAGTCGAATAATAATGATTTAATTTAAATTAAATATCTGCCAATGCAAGGCATTCAAAACTTTCAGCCTAAATAAAAAATATACAGGGTGTCCCTAAAATTGTGCACTCACGTCATACCACGCGTTAAAGAAAAATATTTTAAGTATCGCAAAATTAAATTTTTTTCGATAATAAAACAGGTTGTTGGCGGTAAAAATGGATTCCCAACGATTGCAGCAAGCACCAGTCCAAAACAATTTATTTTTGTTAGCACGTGAGACTGGCTGCCTTGTTTCTTTGTTGAAGGACCAGTGGGTACTTTACCCACAACAAAAATTGTATCGATTAGTTAACTATATTAAAACAAATATTACAACACTGATAATTTACAGTAAAAACTAGTTAATTGCAGAGCGATTGTCAGTTGTCAGTTAGAAAAAGTCGCGTTGTTCTTCTTCTTCTTTTTTAGGCGCAAAACCATTACAACACGGACCTATGCGGCGTTGCCGAAATGCACAGTCTTGAACATGGCCACCACCTTGAAAGGACCCCTTTCAACACAACACTATCCACTAGCACTTAGAGTCCTTTTTCTTGCTCATCGTCTAGGGGTAGCACGCAGAGTTTCACTGCTGGTCTTTTGAAAACACGGTACGGTGTCGAAACAGTAACCGCCCGGATAACTCCATCGCTTCCTGGATGTATTTCCTTTACTCAACCCAATTTTCATTTTAAAGGAGGTATGTTGTCCTCCTTAACGATTACCATTGCTCCTAGTTTTAATAGCTGCTGGTGAGCTACCTTCCATTTAGTACAAACTTGAAGCTCGGATACATATTCCTTTGACCATCGGTTCCAAAATCGTTGCTTCATCTGCTGAATAAGTTGGAATCGTTTTAAAGGACTAATTTTTATGTCTTCCAATTGTGCTTCGACTACTCCAGTTAAGGTATCTCCAATTAACAGGTGAGCAGGCGTTAGAGGATTTGGATCGTTTGGATCGTTACTTAAGGGATATAATGGACGGGAATTAAGACATGCTTCAATCTGTGTCAAAAGAGTTGTAAATTCTTCAAAAGTTAAAATTGATTCGCCGATTACTCTCTTAAGATGGAATTTTGCGCTTTTCACACCGGCTTCCCAGAGCCTCCAAAGTGTGGAGCTCTGGGTGGTATAAAATGCCACTTAACATTTTCAGCGGTGATGCACTCTTGGGCATCGGTTTGCAATCTATAAAGTTCTGCCTTAGCGCCGACAAAATTCGTACCGTTATCGGAGTAAATATTTGAACATTTGCCCCGTCGTGAAATAAATCTATGAAATGCGGCTAAAAATGCATCAGTGGTCAAGTCACTAACAACCTCCAAGTGAACAGCCTTTGATGCTAGACAAACAAACAGACACATATAGGACTTTATAGTTTTATATTTCCGATTTTTAGAGTCTCTTAATAAAAATGGTCCTGCGAAGTCTACTCCGCAATTTAAAAATGGCCTTGTTGCTGAAACTCTGGTTTCAGGTAGGGCTGACATAATATAGTCATTGGAAGTAGGATTGCATTAAAAACAACGAATGCACTTACGCGTGATATGCTTTACTAGATTGCGAGCTGAAAGAATCCAAATGGTCTCTCTTAAGGATGCTAAAATAGTTTGCGGACCTGCATGAAATAATCTTTCATGCTCATGTTTTACTAATAATTGAGATAAATTATGCCTTGGATCTAAAACGGCGGGATGTTTTTATTATAATTATAGCTAGATTTATTTAATCTACCACCCACACGTATAATGTGTTGGTGTCAAAAAACGGATTTAATGAGATTAGTCTGCTTTTACTGTTTACATGTTTTATCTTTTTTAAGTCATTTATTTCCTGAGGGAAATTTTGACGTTGAGACATAAGAATTAATGAATTTGTTGCATCAGACAATTCAATGGGTGATAAAACTCCGTGATGTCTCTTATCTTTTCTTAGTATTAAGTTTTTTATAAATCTGAGACACTATGCCCAGACTCTTTGTAACCTTGTAAACCTTGAAAACCTTTTGAATAAGTCAAAATCCTGAATAGTAGTAGTTAAAATCATTTTTGGTTTACGAGATTCAATTTCAAGTGCCTTAACGTCCTTTTCATCTTCTATTTGGATCTCAGTTTGAATCGGCCAGTAATTTTTTTGTTTGCATAACCAGGCTGGCCCATTCCACCATAGTTTATTATTTTTAAGATCACGAGGGTATGTGCCCCGCGTTAGTAAATCTGCTGAGTTTTCTTTTGTATTAATATAAAACCAGTCATCATTCGATGTAAGGGATTGTATTTGAGATACTCGATTAGCTATAAATATTTTAAGAAGATGTGGAGAGGTTTTGATCCACGCCAACACAACCTTGAAATCACACCAAAAATAACATTTATCAAATTTTATATTCATTGTGTAAACGACCTTACTATATAGGCCTGCAAGCAATAATGAACCGCATAACTCTAATCGAGGAACTGTCAAACTTACTTACTTATATTAAAATCTTAATTTAAGGTATCTGTCATAGAGTGCCATGACAGACCTAATGTTTTAGTGTGTTCATCACCGCCTATATTTAATATAACGTTTTGATTGGAAGTTTGAATTTCATTTAAAATTTGTTTATTATTCGAACCCCACTTGTTTAGTACTAACGAACCTGATTTTAAAATAGAGTTTATATCTTTGTAGATTTTTCGAATTTCTTCTAAAGACTCACCACCGGTTAACAAGTCATCCATATAGAAGTCATTTTTTATTATTGAGCTAATTGCAGGATTTTGAGTTGTATTTTCATTTGCTAGTTGCTAGTTTGCTAGTTTTGCTAAAAAAGATGCGGCTGCTGTACCGTACGTGACGGTATTCAACTGCAAACAAGAAATTTCCTGCGAACTATCATCGCGCCATAGAATTTGTTGAAGGGGTCTCTGTTCTTTGTCTATCTCTATCATTCTATACATTTTTGTAATATCTCCGGTTAACACGTATGCATGTTTCCGGAAACGAATCGCTATAGAAAATAAATCTTGCTGTAGATTTGGACCGGTCACTTGAATGTCGTTCAACGAATAACCAGTTGTTGTTTTAGCCGACGCGTCGAAAACAACTCTTAACTTAGTCGTTAAGCTTGATTGCTTCATCACGCAATGATGAGGTAAATAATAAGTGCCAATATCACTTTGGATATTGATTTTTATTGCATGCCCTAGGGCTTCATACTCATGAATAAATTTTGTATAATCTGCCTTAAGAGCTTTATTGTTATCTAACCGTTTTTCGAGTTGGTAGAATCGTTTTAATGCTACATTTTTTGATTCGCCTAAAGTGCTTATTGGCAATTTAAGGGGGTATTTAACGACAAATCGACCATCAGGAGCTCGAGAGGTTGTATTGTAAAAATGGGTTTCACAGAAATATTCTTCAGGTGAAGATGTTCTGTTTGTCGAGCAAGTTTTTAAATCCCAAAATTGAGTTAGTTTTACGTCTAGATCTTGATTTGAAATAAACCCGCAATGTGAATTCTTAAAACTATGCTTAATGGGGGCTTGACCAGAGACAACATAACCCAAAACGGTCTCTTGCAGCAATGGTTTATTTTTTCCCAATCGAATTTGCTTCTGACATAGAAGTTGCCAGAAAATATCCGCACCCAGTAATAGATCAATTTGACTTGTTTCATTAAACGTGTTGTCTGCTAGTTTTATATAGCTTGGTATGTCTAAAATTGCTTTATCGATAGGCATAGATGGCATGTAGTCAGCAATCTTCGGAACAACTAAACAAGATACATTTACGTTAAAACTTGAATTTTGCGAATATAAATTTACGTTTATCCGCTTATAGATATTTGTTAATGTATGGTTTAAACCAGATACCGTGAGGTTGGTTTTTGAAATAGGTAATTGTAATTTGTTTGCCAGAGCTTGAGTAACAAAATTTGATTGCGAACCCGAGTCAAGCAGAACACGGGCCTCGTGAACATCCCCGAATTTATCTTTAACATTCACGATAGCGGTGGATAGTAAGACTTGAGAATGGTTATCAAATGAACTATGTACTGACAAATCTTTGCATTGATTTGAATCTTGTGGACTATCCTTCTTGTTTTTTACTTGTTCAGCATTTGAAGGTTGCTGATTGCGATTTAAATCATTAACTTGGGTCTGATTAGAATCAGAATTGCCCTTTGTATATTTGTCATCGTGCATTAGGGTGTTGTGACGTTTCCGACAATTTTTACAGCCACGCGCTTTGCACTCATTTGTAGTGTGATTCTTATTTAAACAGTTTATACATAATTTTAAAGCCTTGACTTTTTCGTATCGCAACCGAGGTGATAATTTTACAAAATCTTGGCAATAGTAAATGGTATGCTTACCATTGCAATTGTAACAACTTACATTATCCGTAGTCAAAAACGATTTTGATTTATGCTCAGAGCCCTTTTGATTTAATTGAGTGGGTTGCAAGGACTCTAAGATTCTTGCTCTTTCTTTTAAAAATATAGTGAGTGTCTTGATTCCCATTCGCGTCGCGTGTTATTATCAAATTTTGAGGATATCATGTAAACAATCAAGGCATCCCAATGATTTACTGGTTGCTTTAGGACTTCTAATGCGCGTAAATGTTTTGTTAATCCATCGTGCAATTGTCTTAAAACGCTATGAGATTCTTTATTGCTGGATGGTAGTTCAAAAATGGCCTTAATGTGGTTTGTCACTAATAATTTTTTGTTTTCAAACCGTTCAGTTAATAGATCCCAAGCAGTTTTATAATTTGCTTCGGATATTTCCAATGACTTTATTACATCAGCGGCTTCCGCCTTTAGAGATAAACGTAAATAATGGAATTTCTGTATTGGCGCAATTGACTCATTTTTATGTATTACGGACTCAAAAGTATCGCGAAAGAATAGCCATTGTTCGTAGTTACCATCAAAGACTGGTAAATTTAATTGAGGTAATTTGTAATAATTTT